AAGGTTAATTGAAAAAAAGCGATCTCATAGAGGACGACGAGTTCGTTCGTTTTCTTTTTCTTTTCTTTTTTCTTTTTTTTTTTTTTTTTTCTATAAGTGTGACCACCGCCGGTCACGCGTGAAAGGATCCTCCTGGCCTGGCACGGTGTGGTTCCATCACTTTTTCCTCTTCCCTCCTCCCCTCTCCCCCCCTCGCTCTCTCTCTCTTTTTCTCCCTCTTTCCTGTATATCTCTCATACAGTCCTCCGCGTGTCGTCGATCGTCCGGCACACGGTATTTTCACGAATAAACGCGACCAAGTGCCGCGACACTCCTGCCAAGAAACGAGAGAACGGAGAAAAGCGCGATTTCGAGTTGCCAAATGTGTTATACGGTGACGTTGTGGAAGATGAATTTACTGTATATAGATAGAGGATATGTATACACATAGCATTCTTTATTATAGGCATAGGCTTTCGGTTAATAAAAATACACCAAAGCTCCATCGATCGATCATTTCCCACCCCAATCATATCGTATCATATCGGACATCCCCTTATCCCACCACCACCACCACTATGTTTCGATTATTGAACTTGCCTTGACAGGCTCGAAGACACGCTACACGAGGGTTAAATTTACACCAGCTGGTTCAATCGCCTTGCAGACATGGCACAATCAAGATTCAATCGGACGATAATCTAGCTACCGTTCGTGAAATTCCATTACATGCTAATAGATTTATCGAACGAGGACGCGCCGATCGACGATTCTGTTCTATGTGTATGTATACGGGTAAGTATACGAATCTTGGCAATTATTGGAAATTGTTCATCCTTCTTTCAAAAATTTCCACGGATCGACGATGTACGATTCTCTCTCTGTCGTGGATAATTTTCAGAGGTGAAAGATACAAGCGGGAATCGAGCGCAAATGATATTTCCGGCGCTGCGCTGCGTATCGACGATGACCACCCATTAAGTCACGTCTCATACGGCTAATTAATTAATTATAATGGGACTAGATCGGAGCGGCTTAGGCCGAGCTTGTGGCTCGCTTAGGATCCCTAATTAACTCCAGGTCAACCGTAGTATATCCCAAAGCGTCAATCAGTTCCGATCCGGCACGTCGAAACCAAAACAACTCGCTTCGGGGATACGTCGAATCGTTCGCTTCAATTATGCTTACGAAACGAAACATACATTGCTCGTATCTGTGAGCAATTAATTAAGAACGAAGGAAAAGAGGAGTAGGTATTTCGCTTTAAACACGAATCGTTTACTTCGTGATAATCTATCTTTATCTTATTTTTCTAAAATAGATTTTTTTTCTGTATATACCGCATCTTTATTTTTAACTTACATATCAGTTAATTCTTTCAAGTTTCTTCTCGTTTTCGATTATCAATGATCGATAGAAAACCTCTAAAGGATTTTGTCGTGAAAATTTTAACACGTAATAAAAAATGGATTTGCACCATTTTCAAAATGAATTGTTATTCAACAATTTTTAATTACGCGTAAAATATAAATATATTTTTTAAAACATGAACTTTAATTTTCCATGTGGTAATTTTTTTCCATAAATTGGTATGTTTGAACAAAAAAAACAAACATGGAAAAATGTAATTTCTATCTTTAATAAAAATCGTTAACGACTCGTCATAAATAAAAAAAAAAAAAACAGATTTAACAATCGAAATCGAAAATAAAGGGATTATTAATTATAAACGCGCTGTTCGTTGATCACATTTGTTCTTTATAAATAAAATATTTCATTTTTTTCTCTCGTTAATACTCCACGCCTCAACTCGATCACCCCTCGAATTTTTTATTTTCGATCGACGAAACATCGAGGAACAGGGAGCACGTAACTTTTCGAATCATCGAATTTTTCGAGAAAACACTTTCGAATTAAATTACTCCGGAAATCGGAGTCCGACGCGAGGAACCGACGCAGCGGTGAAGCGTGTACACGCCCGATGTATAGGATTAGCGTGGAAGCGGGGTAATTCAAAGCTGCGTGAAAGAAAATCCCGACAAAACCTGTACATTAACAGTGCCTCGGGTCCCGAGTTGTAATTACCAAGAGTAATTAACTTCGAGAGTTCGCTTAACCGACGCATGCCAGTCATCTATGCTATCCCTTTGGTGCCGCAACAAGGACACGTACGATATAACGTATAACATCGTTCCGAGTGCAAATAATTTAAAAAAAGGAAAATCGTACATTCGGAGTGAAACGTATTGCTCGTTATTGATAAATAAAATGGATTGGGAGGGAGGGGGGAGGGAGGCAAAAAAAGGAGAAGTAGAGTAAATAAATATTTCGTAAATTCACAGTTTCGTGTTTCAAACCTGTTTTGATCCTGGTGAGAGATCGCGTATCTCTCGGGGTATACAGGATGTTAATATTATTCATGGAATATCTTTGAGAGGTTGAGCTCAAACGCAAAATTTGATCATGAAATCGAAATTAAATCGATAAAGAAGCCTCGATCGACGCTTTTCGTACAATTTTTGCGTTTGTTTCGACCCCCTAGAATCCTTCAAACGTGTGAATACGTTAAATATTTCGGATTTTTTGTGGAATAATATAAAACCTCGAAAGTACCGAGCTGAATTTCATTGCAACGTGTCGAATGATTCTCAAAATTCGAAGGGAAAGCGCGAGTTACAATTTCCTCCTCGAAAAATACGAACGAAATAAACCAATCAAAAATTATACTTATATACCTCGATGAAATCAATAGTTGTATAAATTAGACGATATTCCGAAGAGAAATTATATCAATTAGATTAATTAGAGCGCGGTAGTAAACTCGTGTTAACGAGCTTTGATTTTTGAACATGGAACAATTGGTATTTGCGTAATGAAAAGGTGCTGATTGGATAAATTATCGAAATTGGCGAGCAATGGGGTGTTAAATATACCTCGTTACACCCGACACGCGTATATTACGTTCGAGCAAGTTGATGGAAACGATGGAACAACAAAAACACCCTTTATTTTTTTCTTTGACTCCATAGGCATCGAAATTCTGTCATCGAACATCTCTCTCTCTCTCTCTCTCTCTCTC